TATTGCCTGGCATGGAAAGTAACTGAAGGCTTGAACAGCTCTTAAGGGGAAGGGTAAAATGGTCACTACAGGCTGCTTTAAAGTATGAGTAAACTATATTTTTGTAAGATTAAAAGATAGTTTTTGAATTCTATTTCTGGGAGAAATTTTGTGGCCTGTGTATATGGGAGATTAGGCTGGTGGGTTGTGACCGTACCTCCAAAGTTTGACATCAGTGACTGTGAATTAATGTTGGTGCCTTTCCCTCCAGGAACATAAATGCTCTTGTGCACTTTTATGATTTTGGAGGTTGCCAGTCACCATATTTTTACTTTACTGTCTTTGGTACATTTCTTTCTGTTTCATAAGGTGCACGTCGTAACTTGAACATGTTGCCACATGAACACCGGTGAATTAAATTGGAATGAGAAACCTGTGAAGTCACCCCACCTTGCTCTTTACATCACCCTCATCATGTACAAATACAGGTCCAGATACTTGTCAGCCATGCCCTGAATTTTTAAGGCAAACTGAAAGGGGTGCCAGTTTGCTTTTCTGTGCTTTATGAAGGGCAGTGAACTAATTTGGGAGTAGTTAAGACAACCCCTATCTGGAGGCAGCAACTTCCCCGAGAGGGACACGTACCTGGAGCAAGAGACTTGTCAGCTGCCACAAGTTTATCTGCTGCTGCCTCTGAGTCAACACTCCACATTAGCTCGAGGTAACAACCTCTAAATTACCTTTAAAGAAATCCCTTCCAAGCAAGTCTGTGCAGTCCTCTCAGCATTCTGCAGTCAGCTTGGAAAAGTTTTTCACTCCCACTTTTCTCTGCTGATTGCAGCAAAACACGGACTGTTAAAGCAGTGGAGCTGAGCACCCATGCCTGTGCCAGTACCTTTCACCCAGCATGTACTAAGCCTAACAAAAACAAACTTCTGTGCGTGCTCTGCATCTGGCATTCACGTACTTGTGATTTATGAAGGACGAGGGCATGTGTAATGACTCCTCCTGGTTAATGCTGAAAGTCAGCCACTGCACCTGAGGAGGGCTTCAGAGGCAGCCTGCACCAGTGTCTGCCTCCCCCTCCTCAACCTCTTCCTTCTGATCCACCGTCTGGAAATCCCTTTTTCCACATGGTTCCAGATACACTTATCCTTAGGCAGAGTCACAGCATGGACATTTCATCCCAAATCATGAATATGTCAGATGATTAAAAAAAAAAAAGCCCCATGGGGCACACCAATAATTTTGGTGCGATACTTCATTTGATGATGTATGTACAACAAGGCAGTCTTTCTTAACTAACTACTTCTGTTTGGTTTTTTAGCTTCCTCTTAAATATGCAAAAAGTTACATGGTGCTACAAATACGTTATTTGCTCAAACTGAGGATGCAGGCTGTTATTCTAACACTGTCACATGAAATGTGAACTGTCAGTAGAAATGAGGAATTAAACTATGAAAACCAATGAGCACTCCAGATTCTGTACTAGTGCTACTTGTCATAAGCACTCTGGCTACAAATCCTTTGTTGTGTAAATCATATACAAATATTCTACAACATACAGTCACTGGTCTTACCTTTTCCACTTGTATTCATTTATTGTATAAAAATTCACCCTTCCATGGACTATAATAGTTACAGCAGGGATGAATTACTTCACTATAAGACCTAAGCTTTGCTATTGTAAGTATATAAATATTATAATATTTTGGTCAAAAAATATATTCTTATTCTAAAATATGTTCAGTATCTTGGCATAAAAAAAAGTTTACATTATCTAGTTTCATGGTCAGTAATTATTGTAGAATTTCAGTGCTTTACGATGTCTGCAACACGAGTGTGTGTTATCTCTGATTATCATAATTTCTGAAGACTGTCAGAGCACTTCAGTTAATGACACGAACAGAATAGTTTTAATTAAAAACTGTAGTGCCATAATGTTTAACTTGAATCAGAAACCATGCTGATATATCTTATATTGCAAATGGTTGGCAACAGTAATTCTACTTCCAAGGGAGTATTTGTGGGGACCTCTTTCATTTAAGATTATGGACCTCTTGGAGCAAGTCCAGAGGAAGGCCACAAAGATGATCAGGGGGCTGGAGCCCCTCTCCTATGAAGACAGGCTGAGAGAGTTGGGGTTGTTCAGCCTGGAGAAGAGAAGGCTCCAGGGAGACCTTATAGCAGCCTTCCAGTACCTAAAGGGGGCCTACAAGAAAGCCAGAGATGGACTTTTTACAAGGGCAGGTAGGGATAGGACAAGGGATAATGGCTTTAAATTGAAAATGGGTAGACTGAGATTAGATGTAAGGAAGTAGTTCTTCACTGTGAAGGTGGTGAGACACTGGAACAGGTTGCCCAGAGAAGTTGTGGATGCCTCATCCCTGGAAGTGTTCAAGGCCAGGTTGGATGGGGCTTTGAGCAACCTGGTCTAGTGGAAGGGGGGCTGGAACTAGATGATCTTTAAGGTCCCTTCCAACCCAAACCATCCTATGATTCTATGAATCCCAGTAGCATGCTCAATAAGTAGAGCTTATCTTTTTAAGTTTCAGGGAACTGTTTAAGATGTCATAAAAAAAAAAAAAAAGGAATTTTTTCAGGTTATTCTAATAATGTGGTAGGATATTGCAGCTATTGCTACTTTTACTTATTGTGTTAGTGATCTGAAAATGAGACTGGTAGCTGCAAACACCTACATACTAACTCTGCCTCTGATAGCAAATCCTTTTGTGGATGTAGGCAAGTCTCCAAATCTCTCCTCCTTTATTTCCGTTCTTCAAAAATAGTAATTGTTAGTAAGTGTTGTTTAATAGTATTGCATACTATATGTGTCCAAAATGAGGAGCACAGCAGCAGTGTGTGCCTGCAATAATTAACGTGTCAGAACACAGTAACAAATGGCTTGCAATGCTATACTTTACGTACCAAAGCCTTTTTGCTCATGGAGTATGCATATGGCTGATTTGAGGAAACAACAGGTTCAGCACCAAAATAAAGCAGAGAAAAGCCAAGTGTCGGTGGCTTTTCTGAAGCTCTTCAACAGAACGAGGCAATCTAGGTAACAGGGGTCTTTTGTGTAGATGGTACTTGAAACGTTGCAGTTTTGCTGACTGGCATGACCCTTCTGCTTTATTCATGAAAAAAAGGTAGAGTTTCAAAACTCTACCTTTTTTAAAAACTCTTTAAGAAATGCCTTACAGCCTACGCCATGCTGTGGGACTCAGGCAGACGGTCTGCATGGCAGCTTGGGCACAAGCACGGGCAGTTCAGAAAGCTCCTGTGTTCTGATTATTCCTTGTGTCCCAAAGGCAAAAGTCCATTTGTACAGACAGTGTCCCCTCTCTGGCAGTGGCCCAAGCAGGCAAGAGACATTATTCTCTGCAAGACAAGACAGACATATGGTCTGATCCCATATGGCATTTTCTGTATCCGTATGGAGGGCTGTGCCCTGAGGATCATGTCTAGGACTGGCATCTTTATTGTCTGCATGACTTGACATCCCTGGCATGAATATACTGGAGAAGGTGACTGGGCTTTTTCCTCCTTGAGGCTATTCCTTCAGGTCACAAGCATCAGATGGCAGTTTATATCTAAATACAGCCTTTTTTGCAAGGCTACCATGTATGTGGTGTACTTCTGTAGGGCTCATGGAGAGCAGTCTGAGACACATGGAGGTATTAAGAAGGGATGAGAGCAAGAAAGAGTGTGCTGGGGATATGAGGACGAAGGGAAAGCAGGCCAGCAGGGCTCCAGGCTTTGGATCTGGTGTAGCACCTTGGGCTCTGCTGCTTTTGGACCCCACATGTTGGGCAGAGCAAAGAGCAAGGCAAAAGTTCAGTGTCTGCAGTAGGAGGCTGAGGCCAAATGACTGAGTCATGTACTCAAAGACTTGACTGACCTCTGAGTGCATATCTGTGTTGTTGTTTACACTTTACATATAAATACATATAATCCACCAGTTCTTATGATTCAATATTGGAAGACATGCAATTTGTAAACTAGCTAAATCCAGAATCTAGATCCTTCATGGAAAAGGTCAACAGTGGGAAGTCATTTCTGTGGAACATGATCGCGGGAGCTAGGTGAAGATGGAGAAAACGCAGCCAAAACATCTACTGCAGCTATTTAAGATGCTGCAATACTAATACAGGGAGTACGCCAGAGGGCTTTCCTGCGACCAAGCCTTGGAGGAGTCAGAGCACTTTTTGGACCTGGCACAGAGCTCCATCTAACTGCTGCATTTTTCATTGCTATTAAGATGCAGCATCAGTGGCAGCGAACACGCAGACGTTATGGTGATGCTGCAGTCTGCAGGTAGGCTCGGCTGTTTTGCTCTGACACCAGCAACCAGGGATTTGCTTTCAGGTTGTAATTAAGACTTCTGCTCATTATGTAAGAAATGATTTTTGGCAGGGTGCCTGTTCCCAAACCTTGCATATCCGTGCGAAGTGGGGGAAGGGGCCTGCAGGAAGTGTCTGGGACACGGTGTCTGTGGTGAACAAGGCAGAGGAAATACACAAGTCTTGATTCTTTGCTGCCCTGTAGCTCCAAACAAGGTAGTCAGTCAGAGCTCCCAGGGGCTACCCTAGACTGATGAATTTACAAAATCTTGATGTAAGGAGCTAAGCCTGATTTGTAGTGACCAGCAGCAGCAAACGGCATACAGAGGAAGCATGCGTGGAGATGGACCATTATGCAACCTGTCACAGAAAGATAAAATACTTCCATTTCCACTTTACAATAAGAAGTGCTTGTCATTAATCAAGGTAATGTAAAAGATTCCTCTCAGCAATGGACACTAAGGTTCCTACATTGTTATCGATGCTATAAAAGTGTGTATATTGAAGCTACCTGCATGAAGCTGACCACCTTTCTCCTTTTTCTGAGTCTGCAGAGGGGAGGTGAGAGCTCACAGTGTTGCTTCCTTACACCAAGGTGTGCAGTGCATACACCGCAGGTAGGTATGCTCTGATTTCAGTCCTACAAGGCATAGACTTTCTATCCATTTCTTTGCCTAGTGTCCAACAAGCACCACTTTATGGACAGCAACTTGCTCTACCAGTGCAGAATGAATTTCCGCCGGCGGCGACGATTAATGGAGCTCCTCACTGAGAAATCTCGCTTGATGCCAGAAAGCCATGACAGCCCGTTTTGCCTGCGCAAGCAAAACCATGACAACAGAAAACACACCAGTTTTCTCTCAGGTGACTCATCAACTATAATGCTGTCTGTAGAGCAACTCCATGGGATGTTAAAAAATCCTTTTTTGGACAAAGGTTTCCAGTATTTGTCTGAAAAAAAGCAGGGCTTGTTATCACGTGTGCCTGTTCGTAGGGATTGTCCATTCACTCTACCAAATCTTTAGTGACCTGGGGTGGTTTTGTATCTGTATCGATAGCATTTCAGATCCTGATCAAAATTCGGTGTCCATGAGCAAACAGCACTGGTTAAAATCCCCTAGGCCCGACGTAATTTGTCATATATACTATATGGAGTTTTTGAGAAGATTAAAAGTGAGGGGAAGGGGTCCTGCAGCGTTTGCTGTACAGCAGTATCTAGTAAGAACTGAAAGAATAAATGTGAAGTAAAACTGGAAAAACTTACTTCCCTACATTGAAATGCCTCTGAGAAGACACTGCAATGGGAGCTGTTCAGCCATCGTATTAGCTACAGCATTATACTCATGCAGTGACTCTTCTAACTGTGTAGAACACACTACCCCCTTCCCAGTGTTGTCGGCGCAAGCATGGCTTATTGCTATTGTTTTAAAGAAACCAGGGAAATGGGTTTAATAATTGATACCGGTTCCCTTTCTGTATTTTCTCTGTTTGCAGTGAGTCCCACCAAGGAGATAAAGATCGTGTCAGCAGTACGGAGGAGCAGCATGAGTAGCTGTGGCAGCAGCGGGTACTTCAGCAGTAGCCCAACGCTCAGCAGCAGTCCCCCTGTGCTCTGCAACCCTAAATCTGGTGAGCACCAGCATCGCTTATGATGCACACGAGCCAGGACACAAACATCTGTTTGGGGAGAAGGGAACAGGAAGAATGCCTAGCATCGCATCTAAGTTTATCTTTTCAAGGATACATTAAAAATTCACAGCGTCACAGGTTTTATAGGCTAGAGGGGACTATTATCATCTTCTAGCCTGAAGTCCTGCTGAACACAAGCCAGACGTCTGCCTCCAATAGTCTCTGCATCAAGCCCATAATTGTGGTTTGAGCTACAGTTTATCTCGTAGGAGGACATGCAGTCAGAGGCCCAGATTTGCCTCTTCATTGCCAAGCTCTGAACCGATTCAAATCTCCTCCTAGAGACATTCCTTTGGTGCAAGTCAGAGGAGAGTTTAACTATCCAGTGGCTGGTTGAGTTGCTATGAAATAACACAACTCAGAAAACAGCAGCCTCTAAAAAAAGAGGCAGCATTGTTTCAGCCTGTCAGGGACCATTTCAACATTTTCATTTGTTTAGGTCTTACACTGGTCTGTTTAGAAAGGTAAAAGTAGTGTTGAAGCTTATTTTCCTTTTGAAAGGATTTCCTATCTCACACCGGAAGGTTAAACACACCCATTCTTCCACAGTTCACTTAAAATTGTTTCTTACTGTATGTCTGAGAAGGGGAAAACAGACCAGGATAGATATTGTTTCAGCCTCTCTGTTTCCCTCAGAAACAGCCCTGAATTTCAAAGCAGAGTCACTGCTGCCCTTTGTGCTCCTTATTATTTCAAACTTACCGGGTCTCTGCCAATGGTGTGGGGAGTGTTTTGCAATAGGGGAAGGCTTCAGAGGATATGTGTAAGCTTTGCTTTCAAAGGGATGCTGGCATTTGAAGTGATTACTAGAGAGTGCCTCAAGCTCTGTATGAATCCTGTTCAAAACATTGACAATTTACTCCGGAGATGAGTGAGCTAAAGTGCATTTCATTCCTGCTGTGCAGAGTGGCCATCAGAGAGGCATAGTTATGGGGATATTTTCTTTCTTTCTCCGTTTAGCACATTTCCTTCCGTCTCCTTAGGCTCTGCTGGGAATTCAGTATGAGGCTCTAAATTAAAATAATTGGAAGGACTCAGTAGGATTGCATGCCCAGAAGCCATAACCCCCTACACCAGACTTGCTGTCCAGCCTGGGGGAGCGCTCTCAGTGCTGGTGGTCATTGCATCTTTGGAGTACGTTGCTGTGGGGCGTTCAGCACCACCTTCCAATGTGTTTACCCCTATATGCAATGGGTTTGCCCCTATACAAAGAGTGCCACAGTGTCACATTTTTGCAGAATCTCTCTCACGTATACTTCCCAGAAACAGTCTGATAGATTTTGTATGGGCAGCTCTTTAGCCCCAGCACATCATTAATTACATCCTGGAAAATTTGCTGGGACAGATAAAACAGCATTCATGCACTGTCCATAAATGTGTGTATTATCTGAACTATGCCGACTATTCCGTTCATTTATGGTTCTGATTATATATGAAGTGTCAACCCATGAATAGTGAGAACAAGTTTATTTTAATGCAGCTGGTTACACAACACTGGAAGAAAAAGGATAGGCTGATGTTGCCTTTGCATAAATTCTTTATTTTTTTAAAAGAAATTCTCCCTTAGGACTAGTTTTCAAACTCTGAATAGCTTTAACAGGCTCATATTTGAAAGAAGACAGCAATGGGCTTATAAACAGACTTATTTTTAAGAATTATACAATTACCAGCAATGTAAGGTAATTTCTCCCATAGCGCAAGTACAGATCCACACATCATCTCGCTTAGGTTAACATAAGGTTATCAGATGTAAATGTGAGGAATTCTTAATCCTCTGCTGGACTATAAAGTGATCTTTTTCACAAACAGTTTTCTGCTATCCAGACCCAGAGCATGTCGCTGAACTGTGTGCTGATAAACACAAGGCAGAGGTATATTTATTGTCAGATGAGTTCTCTTGCAGGCAAACACTTAAAAAACCCCCAGGTCATGACCTAACCAGTCATAGAGAAAAACAATCATCAAACAAAAAAAAATTTCTGGAGGTATAATGAAGGGAGGCACGCAAGGGAGTCCTGCGTGGATGATTTACCTGATTCTGACTTGTCGGATGAGCATAATTATTCAGGTTTTTTACGTTGACGAGGCATGCTCTGCAAAGTGTAACGCTGGCTAAATGGCAGTTTGTCAGAATCCATGGGAAAGTAAAAAAAATACATATTGGTTTGTATGCTAGAATTCTCCCTGCTCCCATGAATGTCATTAAGAAACTCGTTAATGTCTTTGAATACCATCTGTGGGAAATTTTATCTTCCACCTGTGACTGAAAAGGCAGACATCATCAAAATTTTTTATCACTGAAAGAAAAGCAGCCACAACGTTAGAGGTGAAGCAGGCAAATACGGTGAACAACATATATCTTTCCATTGTCCTCCATCTTGTGAAGCATTTATAGACAGATGAAAAATGGTACACAGAATGGTATTGATTTGATTTGGCAGAAATTTACATTTAATTTGTTCAGGGGAAAATTATCCCAATGCATAGCGAGGCAATAGGGAATCACCTGCAGAAACTCACTGGTATTTCCTTTCATCTAAAATCCCAGCCAGCTCTAGGTTACCTAGGTTGTCCCTGGATAAGATGAGGTTAGATGTCTGTGCCTACAATTGCAGAAATCTCTTTGTTGGGATAATTCCTGACTCAAGCAGAATTTTCTTATTACTCAATTCTGTGATTCAAACCTGACTCATGAAATAGCAGAAAGCACTCAACATGCACAGAGCAAGCTGGGAAGAAAAGCTGCTCCATGTCAGGAAGGTTGGTCACTGGTTTCAACACTGGACCCAGGAACAGCCACTTCTGATGTTTGTGAGAGTGTTTAGTGGATCTTGATTGCAGACAACAAAGTCTGTTGGCTAAATGCCCTGATTTTCCAAAGCTCTTATCATTTGTACTTGGAGTTATTCTGCTGCCTTTTACTAATTTCAAGCAAGTCTACAGGAACTGAAAGACTGTATGGGAAGTGGGACCAAAAAGATGTTGTATCCCAACACTGTATTTTATTTATTAGGAAGAACTCCAGAGGAATGTTTATATTGAATATTCATTTATGTATCTCCACAGTATTAAAGAGGTCCGTGACTGCTGATGAGCTCTTGATGCCTGGAGCCCCATATGTAAGAAAAACTTTTACGGTATGTCTCCAGTATTTTTCTTTATTTTCTGCATGTTGTATGCATAAGGTAATCCAAACAGCCATTTTCTGATGGAATAATTAGAGCTTATTTGCATTTGCAAAGGTTTGTACTTTAAAATCCCACACTCCGTTATCAGTACTTCCACACATTTCAGGTCTGATTCTGCACTTGTTTATCCTGTCTTTATGCCAATGTAGTACTGCTGACTTAAATGGAGTGTAAAATTACATAAAGCCAATAACATTTGTATTATACAAACTCATCTAGCCTTTGTGCTCCTGGTAATACTTGCTCTGCAGGAGTGGATTACCTACCCAAATGGAAGTTTCCTACTTAGATCTTTCTAGACTATGATGGGACAGAAATTTTGATTCATATTCACTGTTAGAGAAGGCCTTTCTGTAAAGATATTTTTGAACCTAGTCATTGGAAGCATTGCTTTTTACAGCCTCCTAGCTCAACAAAAAAAGTTCATTAAAAGCAAGAGGAATCACTTGGATAGAGCCTTTCCCATGAGTGATATAGCAGCCTGTATACAATGCCCTTTACTATGTGTTGGAAGTATAGAGATGTTGAAATTATGTCTTGCACCATTTAGATGTTACCCCCTTGAATTTCCTGGAGCTGCTTGAAGGTGATCATGTCCTTCTTTTCTCTTTCCAGATTGTCGGCGACGCGGTGGGCTGGGGCTTTGTGGTGCGGGGGAGCAAGCCCTGCCACATCCAGGCCGTGGACCCCAGCGGGCCGGCAGCCGCGGCTGGGATGAAGGTGGGTTTTCAAAAGGGGATGATTTACCAGGGGTACTTGTGCTGCTCAGTGAAGGTCTTGGGCTGCCTGTATTTGGGGAAGGAGAGGTGGTTTTGTTTCCACAGTTGAGTATCTTTGTTTCAGTTTCAGGTGTTTGTGCACAGTGAGTTCTGCTGCCTTTTACCCCCCTCCTGTTTCTTTTCTTCTGTCTCTGAGATTCTTCTAGTCCCTTTTCCATGTGAAACTCGTTTATCCTTTCCAATTTGCTTTCTTGATCTTTTCCTTTTTTTGTTTTGTTTAGTGGGTTTTTTTTGTTGGTTAGCTGGGTTTGGTGGTGGTGGTGTTTTGTTTTGTTTTTTTTTATTTTCACCTTTTTCCATTTCTGCACAATTTTAGCTTCCCTCTTTACATTGCAATTTATGTGGTTGCTGGTATGCAGCTTCTGGACTTTGCCTATGTAGGAAGAGGCAAAGTCAGACATACCTATTGAAAGTGAAGCTAGCATAACCTAGCTGTTATGCTAGGTTATGTAAAACTGTAAAACAGTTAAGATTCAATATGTTTTGGAAAGAAGAGTTTATGACGCTTTCATATTTCATAAAGAGTTGAAATAGTTTCATACATGATTTAAGAATAAATAAATACAAATTCCATGTGAAGGCTTTTGTACTGCTAATGCAGAGCCCATTGACTTACCTGTAGGTTTGGATCACATCCTGCATGTATCTGTGAATAAATCACTGTCTTGTACAGTGGGAAAAATAAAAAAAGCATTATGCCAAGTATAGATCAAAGCGAGAAAGGGAAACTAGCTGCTACACCTACTCCAATGTCCAAGCTGGGCCAGACACAAAGATTAAGTTATCAGTTTATGTCATGCTTTATTGTATGATAACAACACAGATGAAGGCTTCAGATGTATGCCACATGCAGCCCAGTTTGCCACGAATTTTGTCCTGCCTTCTAATTCATCTCCCTTTTCCATCACACTCACCCCAGCTGCCTCTTGCTCGTATATTCACACCCACCAAGCTGGAGGCAGCACGTGCTGCCGCGACTCCTGGGATGCGCATCCTGCCCATCGCGCGGTGCCAGACCTGCCATGGCACCCTCCTTAGCAAATGCACTACAGGGGTTTCTCCTCTCCGGGTGCTGCTTTTTTTTTTTTTTCAGATGAAACTTGGAAGAATGTACTGTCTTTGAAACATTTACTTTTTTTGAGCATGGGCAGGCAAAACTCCTGGGAGGGGGAATGGCAGCTGCAGAGCCTGTTGGTGCACGCAGCACCCTGACGCATCCTGCTGGCAAACAGCTTGATTCCTGAGGGAGCTGGAATTTTTTATGTTTTATACAATACCTCAATATAATATACAGTTATATTTTTTATATGAAGAGTATCATTTTCAAATGGCAATCCTGCCTAAAATTTAAGGGACTTAAATTGAAAAATAATTAATTTATTCACGTGTATGTTCTAGATCTTGAACCTGGGAGTTTAGTACTTTACAGCATTTTTTACTCTCTGAATATAGCAGCTAGCAATAAAATAGATCTATTCTGAAACCTGACTTGTAAAAATAACTGTGGTGTCATATATATAATCTTAGAGATTTCACTTCTGCACTCACCAGCTTAGAGCTGAATATGGTGGGCCTTTGGTTTGTTTTTACTTTTGGTTTCAAGCTGGCGGCCCTGTGACTAGACACTAGGATGTTTCAGTTAAGCTGGGTTCTTTCATAGTTCACCTCTGAAACTGGTTTTATGTACCAAATTATGTCCTCATATCTTCCATTTGTGCTCTCCATGCACTCATGTACTCTGAGGGGGTTACAGAGGTTTGCCTGAACCATTCAAGACATAAGAATGTAAAATAGTTTACTGTCCTGAGGGGAGCAAGCAGTATTTTAGACAGTAAAGCTGGAATATATTGCCTTGAATTTGCACAAAGGATAGATCTGATTATTTGCAAAGGTGCTATCTTTATATAAAATCGCTTTTCAGAGCAGAATTGCACATAAAACATTATGGCTATATACTAGATGAGTGCCTGTTTAGACACCAAAATTGGCACCCCATTTTCAGAAACGCTGAATACCTTTAGCCCCTGGTGAAGAAACGCCAGTTTTATTTGAAACTAAGGGGGTTTGTTGAGGTGTTCCCATGGCAATAGGTATGTAAATTATAGTGCAGTATTTGAAATTTTTAAAAATCTATGTCACTTAATCCATCTGTTTACAGAACTCTTCAATCTGGCGAATTTAAAGGAATCGCATGACAGGCTTTAGATGACAGCTCCTTGAAAATAAACCTTCCCCTCTGTGGAAGTTACAGGAGGAGCACTTTGAAAATAGACTATTGGGCCTGGTAACTTGCGGTGGGCTGGTGCAAGAGGCTTTTGTCTGCCAGTGTTGCTCTGAGTGCTACACCAAAGAAGCGCTAACAAGGAAAGTTGGCTATGATGAAAAGGGCAAGAATTTGAAGAAGAGCCAAGACTTGGCGTTGCAGTTTGTAGAAAAGTTCTTGGCAGTAGCAGCAGGGTTTTTCCTCCTAAGGAGATGTATCCAGTGTAATGGTTTTTGGAAGTGTCTTTGTTTGTAAAGCTTGTGATTTTGCACTTATCTCTCTTGGAGAGTGCTATAGTCCTGCTCTGCATTAGGCTGGACAAACTTGAGAAAGGACTGCTGCCTACAATCTCATTGTCAGACCTCAGCCTGTGCACTTAAAACTCTCCCGTGTATTACATATGGCAGTAAACATTACAGGCTCAACCTACCTGAAGGACTTTATGGTGGCTTGATTTCAGTTTGACCTTGGCTGGGCTCCTGGCCTGCTCCAGAGCACTGTGAATTGGGGGTCTGAGTAGAAATCTCAATGAGCTTGGGACGGAGCTCTGACCGCACACAGCGGCTCTGCGGTGGGCACGGCGCTGGGCGGCTGGGATGCATGGGTCTCCGCAACACATGTGCACCTCTGCATGGCAGTGCTTGCCATCTCCTTATACATGACATCCTCTTCTGGGGGAATTTTCAGACAATTTAATTCTGAGAAAATGCTGCTAGCATGGTCTGCTGAAGAGGTGTGAGAGGGTGTTAAATTTTTTTGGCTTTAAGTCTTGATACCTCTTCTGGGGCTGGTAAATAGGATTACCATTTCCAGTCTGAGGTTTCAAGTATGAAGCTGAGCAAATAATTTAATAAATATCTTGTCTATTAGCTTTATTAAAGTATTTTTAGACATCATTTGTTGAAGTGCGGTTGCCTGTGACAGCGTTGTGAAGAGCGTGGTTGCTGTAAGCGCATTAACAAGTGGGAGCTGGAGGCGGCGCGGGGCAATGAAAGGAGTCAGTGTTGCGATGCGTACTTGTAAGTTATTTGCAGCTCTGTTTTGCTGTCTGCTGTTGTCAGCAGTGAAAGACAGGAACAGCAGGATTTTGAAGTTTCCAGGTTGCTTTAATATTCAGTATTGACTGGCTGCAAAATTCAGGTCTCTGCAGATGACACTGCTAAATATTGCCAGTTGTTGTCAGGAAAACTCTTTTCCCCCTTTTTTCAGTGTTTTATTCTGTAAGTTAATTTCTGTTTTTAAGGTACAAGTATTCTTTGAAAAGTTACACAGCTTGACTTCAAACTAGTGACTTAAATTATGCATTACATGTTGTTATTTAGTGTGACGTCGCTGCAAGAGTGTGACAAAACAAGCAGACCTAGCTTAGTGTGAGGCTTGTGAAAGAGACAAATTAATTACTCATTTTGCTGATTATCTGTTCTTTCCTTTGGCTGGAGAAATCAGTGCCCAGCTCTAACCTTTGAGGAATGCTAAAGAATATCTGATTCCTTAAACTGATTTTGAGCAAATTAGTATTTATACTAGAATTGCCAATGGCCACTTGAGCTTTTTTATCCTACTCTAGTTCTTCTTCATTTCAGTTAGTAGCAGGGAGTTTGGGGACCATGTATAGTCACTGGTACCAACCCCTTCTGTTTTGAGCTCTGCTTGGGGATTACAGTTTACAGCCAGGACCATTTCAGCGTGGTTCTGCTCTCCTGATCTTTAAAGGCTGGTGCAGGGAGGAGGTCAGCCTCATAAATTTTCTGCCTGTGCCGTTGTCTTCTGCACTCACAAATTATTATTTCAGGTCTAGGTTCTCAAGTGATTTCACTAGCAGAATAAGAGCCAAATCTCAAGTGTAATTGAGTAGCCACTGTGTCATGGAGCAGATTGCTGTCAGGTTCATCAAGGTCATCAGGCTCAGTCTCCCTGCCATTAAAGGAACATAGGTACTATCAGATTAGACCAAAAAGTCCAAATACTGCCACAGTCACAAAATATTACAGGCTTGTAACATAAAGAACTAAAAGCTATGCATTATAAGGTGCCAAGTGGGGGGGAAACCAACCCCAAAACATGTGATGTCAAAGAAATTGCCAATGCCTTAGATTCTTGCAGTAGGAAGAAATTTGAACTGTGAGATTCTCAGGAGGTTGAATGTACCCCATGCTGCAGAGAAATGCAAAGCCCATTCCATGGTCCTTGCCAATCTGACCTCAGACCTAGGTCTCCAGTGTTTTACAAGATAGTGGGAAAAGCAGAGAAGCTTGGACATCATAAGTGAGAAACTTCTTTGTAACTCCTAAAGGTAGCCTAGTGGGAGCTTGAAGACTGGGATTTATATTGTATAAATAAGGCACAACGAACATGCCTCCATTTAACCCTCTCCATGAAGCTTAGGAAGGGAAGATACCTCAGTGTTTGGTGCTGGGACTCTAACTCTTTAAAGCACCAGGGAGATGCTTCAGTGCTGATTGAAGGTATCCGAAGGGTACTTTCACTATCTCATGTGGCTGAGCTTTAAATGAGAAGATGAAGTAGGTTTGGATAAATATTTATACTCTGCACTAGCATATGGTGTTGTTGAAGCAGATGCAATTCAGTCTTAGAATTCTTATCTTATACCAACATGTTACTGATTGTAGAAAAGCATAAATTACACAAGTTGCCATCTGTTTCCAATTACAGCATGA